GACACACACATATGCATAAAAATAACAAGAGTATAATCCCACCACCAAATGGTCAGAAAAAATTATTTCATATCAGCCTCTGGTCTATCAATACACCAACTAACAGGGAACTATGCAGGGTACTCAGCTTCCACAAGGGTCATCAGTCTGCACAGGGAGCAGATTTCCTTCTCGTGGTCTAGTGCTGCAACTCTGAGGGTTAACTCAGCAAAGAAGTATTAAAAAGACCCCAGACCCAAACACGGACCCAATCATTATCCTCAAATACTGCACATAAAGGCTTCTTCAGGGGTTGGGGCTGAATGCAGGACTACTGCAGCAAAAATTCCATCAGACACTGATTTCAATCTTGGGCTCTCTACAAGAAGACGACCGAAGGGCAGATCACCCGCCACCATCTTGCCTCAGGTGCCTTGCAACTGTTTTTCTAAAGCTGCAGAAGACACTGTTCTTGCTGGGCAAAGAGTGAGACCTGGCCTCCATTTTGAGAAAACACAAAAGAAATGGCACCAAACTATCCTAGTTTAGGGGTTTGTACTGCCACTCACCACTGTAGTAGCTCTACATCTTCCATATCAAATAAATTAGGAAGTAGGATGCCCACTTTTGCCGATGGGTGTGATGGAATCTCTTGTGCTTCTTCCTTTTTGGGTTATTAAAAAACACCCTGCTTTGGGTAGGTCTCTTTTTTTGGAAGGGGTAAAAGGAAGGGTTAGGAAAGGGGAGCAGTTGATGCTGCGAATGCTGTTCTGGTTATGGAGTCAAAGATTTATCAGAAAGGACGGTTTCCCAGCATTTCCCAAAGAAAGTCAAATTCTGGATTCCTCTCATCTCCTCGAAGTTTTTCGATAGATAAATGCCCTCAACTGAAATTATTTTATCCCCGCTCTCATGCACGCTTCACTCTGGGCTTTGCAATCGGCATTGTTCCAGAGGAACACAGCCGTCTCTGTGGCTTGTAGATGGTGATGGGGGTCTCTGACATAGCTGGGACATGATCCATCAATTGTTCCAAGATTAGGAACAAAGACCTAGAATGGCAGTGGATAAAGGACTGGAAGCCAGTGCAGGGACAGAAGCACTGGCTTGATGTGCTCATGGCAGCATAAGCCATGGAGAAGGCAGACAGCCACATCTTGTGCCAGATGAAACCCGTGCACTGTTTTCTCACACACACACATACACACACACACCCCACACTGTTTCAGATGCAACAAATTACAGTTATCCAGCCTGAAGGTGTCAAAAGCCTGGATCCCTGGGGCTACATCCTTATCCACAAGGAAGGGGTGGAGTTTCCTAGCAAGCTGGACATGAAGGTGGCACTTTTGGTTTCTGATGCTACCTGCTCATCCAAATTCAGTAATGAGTCAAAGAGGACCCAAGACTTTCCACCACTTTGAATGAGAGCTGTAAGCCTTCAAAAGAAAGAAAGGATCAGAGAACTGGCTAGCTCTTCAAAGGGTTCCCCCCGCCAACCAGCATGACTCTGATCTTGCCTACACTGAATTTGAGCCAGCTGCTCTTCGTCCAGGAGCTGATCTTTTGTAGGTATTATAACATCTTACTAGTGCCAGAGGTTGCAATAGTGGAGAATGAGATATACAGCCAGCTGTCATCAACAGACAGGTGGCAGCAGAGCCCATCACCTCTCACTTGCTCCAAGTGGTCACAGTGGTCCAATCAACCCTTTAATCTGAGGGTGGAACTGAGCCTTTACTATTGATTAGCCCAATCAGAAATGTTGTTTTGTGCAATTTTTGATAATGGTTACTACTAACAATCAACCAGTTTGAAGCATCCTGTAATTTTATGACTTAGGAAATTTGATTTCTACCACATTTTCCAACAATTCCCAGAATACTGTAGGAGAGATGCTTAAAAATATGGAGGAAGTCAAAGTCTTTCTAAAACAAATGAGGTACTGTTTTTCTTAGATAGGCACTCATTCATAAGATGGTTGGCTTCATCTTTAGCACAGCATTCACTTCAGTTTCAACAGCAAAACATTTACACTAAAATTATCAGAATTAGTTATTCTGCAAATGACGACTGAGAATGGGATATAATTCAGAAGGTAAAACCACAAATGAAAATGAATCATAAAGCTACAAGATTACAAAAAAGTCAAGCTAACGCAAAGGACATATTGAAACAAAGTGAATAATCATGAGAATGATGGAAATTATACCTACAAGAGTTAGAAATATAGGGTATTTAAATCTGATTTTAAAATACAGTCATCACTTCCTACAAAAGCAGTACCAAATATTTAAGGTACATTAAACAAGAAACTGTTCTAATATTTCTGTTATAAGTATAATGCAAATGGATTTGACAGACTCATAGTAGAGCTCTAAGTGCAAGACATTACTGGAACAAATGGCCAAAGTCAGCAACAGAAGTCAGCAGTGTACATCAGGTCAAAAGAACTGGTCATTTATTTAAAAAAGATGGACGCAGAAGGGTACAGCTAGTGACTGGCTTTTGGGTGGTACATAACAATGAGATATAAATCTATCTGCTGTGTATTTCCTGCATTTGTAAGGGAAGCCAGGATGGAATTTCTCTCTTTACCCTTTCTTCTGTCTTTATCTCTTTTCCCTCTAGGTGCTTTCCTCTCTGTTCACAAAAATATTATATATATATATATATATACATACACACACACACACACACACACACACACAGAGAGAGAGAGAGAGAGCTTACAGAATACATTATGCATTTTATTTTTAAATTCACTGCATAAAAAATTCTGTTTTAGAACAAAGCTCTTGTGTGTGGGCGTACACCTATAAAATAAAAGGCATTGTTACTCCACCAGATAGGAATCCATACCCAGTGATCAAATCAGGCCTTAAAATTCTGTTTTGACAGCTACTTGAAGAGTTCTATATTTTCACCAGAGGTTTGACTTTTAGATGAATACCGGGTGTTTAGTGATATCATCAAAAGAAGACTCAAACCTGATATTTGCAGGCAGAGTAATATTAGCTGTTGTAACAAAGTTTCCATGCCTGAAATGCGTAATATTTTATATTTCCCGATCATTTTGTTCCTTCCTAGAATTAGATGGCCATACCTAAAATCTCATTGTAGATGGCAATTAATCTTACCTGTGACATACTATTTTGGAATTTATTTTAATTACATTATTAAATTATCACTAACAGAAAGGAATGAGTCTGTTTCCAATTAATATTTATAAACTGCCTCTGTATGATACAAAAATGCACAGCCGTATATAATAGTAACCCTTCTGTCATATAAGGGCCTAGTTAGGTACCTGTGACCTGGAAGAAAACTGTGAATACAATAAATGTTATACTTTTAGAAGTTAATTTACAGAAAACCTCTTCAAATAAATAATATTCCTTGTCTCGGTAAACACTTAATACACTAGTCAAGTAAGCTTACATAATATGATTGTCTATTTGTAATGACACCATTCATTCTATTCTTTTGTATAATTAGGGTCTGTTTTATTTTTCTGTATAATTGACAATAACTCAGATCCTTAACCATAAATTCCTATAATTTTACACTTTCAAAGGGAAGTTCAGAGAGTACTAAGCAACATTATACTATTAAGCAAACATACTGCACACATTATTTACAAAAACAAAGTAAAGTCTGTAAATCATTTAGCATATCCTCTGCTGATTGTTTTAAAGTTGTACACACACACACACCCCCAAAACACACACATCTCTGCATGCAGCATAAACCTACCTCTGAGAGAAAGATTTTTTTTTCAGCTATTTTCCAGAATTACTCTCTTTGGAAAAATATCACCTGAGATATCCATTAATCTCCTCTGTTCTTACTGTATACCAGAATAGCATCATTTTTAGAAGAACCATATTTGTATTTTACTTTCAGAGATAAAACGATGACTAAGGTTGGATAACAATAATTGACAAGGATAAACAGGATTAAGTAACAGGTGTCTGACTGTACATAATTCAAAGTCAAATACGTATAGTATTGCTGGCAAAATGGCAACCTTAGTCAACATCTTGGTTTAAAAGTTATTTTATAAAAATATTATGTTGATACATTTATGTAAATTAGACTGGACTTTTTTTTTTAAACACACAGAGCTAATGCATGCATACACACATATATTCACACACGTATTCTATTTGATAATAGTAGTGCTCTCTCTCTGTATTAAAGAATATAAAAAACCTTCAAAGGTAGGCTCCCATTGTTCAAAACTAAGTTACTCTTCGCTACAAGAGACACATTGGTCACACACCACACTGCATTGACACAATCCGGATACCCATGAAAAACTACAGTGATCCGCTCAGCTGGCAATAAAGATGAGAAGAAGAATGTAATTTAAAACAACAACAACAAAACTTGTCTTGTGTGCAGCAAGTGGAAGGATCCGTTCAAGCTGCGAGTTTGGGCTTGCAAAGATGCACTCATCCTGCCTACTTTGTATGGAGAGCCAGAACCCCAAGGTTATTGCCAGTGGGAAAGGACCAGAACTCATGTCAGTATCACTGAAGGAAGGGCTTTCTCCATTGCAACAAGCCTGAAAGAGCAAAATATAAAGAAACAATCATGCCCTCCCTCCCCCTTCTACAATCACACGCATTCACTCAGTCCCTAGCCTAGACGCGGCGGTGGAGGGACAAGGTGCGAGGCAGGGACCGAAGCGGGGAAAGGCGAACGAATGCTCCCGTCTGCCTGGCGTTCGCTGCGACGGGCAGCCGCAGAGGTGCCGAGAGAGAGGCAACGCATCACCCCGTCGTGCGGGGCAGCCGGTGCAAAGCCCCGCACACCGGAGCCTACTCCCCCCTACCTGTCCCCTTGGCTTTCCGCTCCCGCTCCGGAGCGCCCTGGCTGCGCGTGTGGCTATGTGTGGTGCTCACCAGGAAACGCATCTAATGTTTGCACCGCATCCTCCCCCCCTTTCCCTTTGCCCATGCACGGAGCTCCCCGAGCAAGCCCCACTCACAGCAGAAACCCCCCCATCGCCTTACATCAGCTGCAGCCGGGAGGATTCCGGAGGGGAGGAGGAGGAGGAGGGCAGCAACCCGCCCCCTGTGCACAGGATGTGCTGGGGCTGAGCCGAGAAAGGGGGCGGGCGGGTGGCTTCCGCGCTCCGTGGCTCCTCAGTTTGCACCCACTCCGCCCGCCCTCCCCCCTCCTTGCTCCAGGCAGGCGCGAGACACCCGGTCCCGGGGGAGGGTGCGCGCGAGGCCGGAGCTCGGCACTGGACTGGCGGCGGCGGCGGCTCGTCCCTCCCCGGGGCTGGTTCCTCGGCGGGCGGCGCGTGCACAGGCAGGGAACGCGGCCGGCGGGCCCGGGGCTCGGGGCAGTCCCCGCGCCGAGCCCGGCTCGCTCCTGGGAGGCCTCCCCCCTCCCCCGCTGCACCGGCCGAGCCGGCGCATGACAAGTGCAGAGGCAGCGGGAGCCCTGGAATAGTGGGTCTGTGTGTGTGCAGGGGCCAAGCGTGAGTGCACGGACGTGACAGCAGGTGTGCACGGGCTGCATAACAACGTGTGTGACTCCAGGCAGCTGCATAGTGCAACCCTCGCTGCATGGGTCTCTGTGAGGGCATGAGCACAGTGACGTGTGTACTGTACTTCTGTGCATGTGGAGAGACAGTAGACGTGCGTGTGTACAACACAGGGTGTTGACGGAGCATTCAGGCGTGGTTCCACGTGAACAGAACATGAGTGTGTGGGGCTATTTTCCTGGGCTTTCAGAGGCTTGGAAGGATTAGATTTGTATCTGTAAACACTGATTTCCACTGTATGTACTCACACGGATGAAAAATATTTGCATTGATAATCCAAATGTACTGATCAGCAAAGTAAGGAACAGCTGGTTGAGGCATTATTCGAGTTTGATTAAAGGATATTTGCTTTGTGTATTGTGACATGTGATGCTGACAACTTTAAGCTTTAATTTTTTTAATCTCAACATTGTAATTAAATAATTGTTGGGTGATCGCTTGTTGCACCCCCCCACCAATTTCCCACAACTGAACATTTAAATTGATAAATAAAAAATGCTTAAAATATATTTTGTAACTGAGCATTAAAGTCAATAAACGTTGAAAAAATAACTATAAACATTGATATCTGTCAAAATTATAAAATAAACATTTAAGGGTATCAGGCATATATATATGTTGGCTGTGCACATGTAAATATTTTTTGTGTATCCATGTGCATGTGTTTACTATAGAGGTAGTTTTGTGTAGTATGTATGAGAGAGAGTAGTTTGCTAGTCAGGTGTTCGAGGTTACACATGTCTTTTATTCTGTCTGCCACCCAAATAAATGTAAACTCTCTAATCACAGCCCATTGATTTTTGCCTTTTAGGTAGACTATTGTTACATAATATATATTTGAGTTCAGCTAGCTGAAATTCAGCATACAGTATTTGAGTTCAAACAGTGCTGCTAAAAGATATAATAAGGCCCCTAGTTCATAAAACAAAAATATACAGCTACAAAGGAAAAAGAAGCATTTGATTTACTGTTTGGGTTCTTCTGGAGCCTGACAAATTGAAAGCAAATAGTTTTGCCAACCCACTGTATACCTACCGCCTATATTACAGGAAATGGTATTTATTAATGCCTGAATTCAAATTGAGAATGAGGAAAAGATTTGAGATGACATTTTCATGCCTGAAAAAAATAACATTCACAAGTTCTACTACTATAATATTGAAAGCTTAATCACTATGTTCTGACACTGTCGTAAAGTGGGCCATGAAGTTTGTGATACTGTCCAACTTTGATTTTTTTTTTTATTGTGCACCAAGTTACAATACTATTTTAAATTAACTGCAGCACAGTTTGCTCTTCCATGCTTGGGCCTGTCGTAAGCACAGACTGTCAACAGTATGGAATTCTTTCTGTATCTCATTTAGCTACCTGTAGTATTTATAGTGTTATTATCTGACTGCAAACTACAGTGATTAAGATTTGCATAGAGTTGCCCATACTGGAGTCCATAATATATCCTTCACTTCCCTGCTTAGAGCAGCTGCTTTTCATATTCTCAACTTTTTCTCTCTTGTAGTTGATTGTTTACTGAAGAAAGGCTTTGGTGGAAGAGGTAGAGGGAATAGAGAATAATAGTGAGTTTTGCAGCATGCTCTGAAAATCGTCTGTTTTGGACTTTTGTTTACCTTGGTAGATAAAAGTTCATTTACATGGCAGGGGTTGGTTCTCAACTGGCAATGCCTTCTCTCCCACCCTCATTAACTTCAGCAGTGGATATATTTGCACTGGTGTAGAACAGTTTTTTTACTTGCTTTGGGTCCACAATCTGCAAAAAGGCAACCCACCATATCCCATAGTGGTTTATGTCACAACATATTGTGGGATTGGTTGCACAGTGAAACAAGGGAAGGTGAGGATTGATGGTACTGTGGGCAATAGATAGAAAGGAATGGTGAAGAGTGGTGGATTTAAGGCTGGCGAGGCCGTGAATGATGCAGATGGAGGAGCTGGTTTGGGGAATTGCGAAAGGCTGGTGCTGGGTTTGAGCTGATGCTGGCTACTGGGAGTGTCTTTCTACACTCCCAAACAGCCCTTAGCTCGGGGCAATGCTGCTCCAAGAGGCTAAAAGGAGCCCATACCACTGCCTCTACAATTTCCACTTCATCATCTCCACTGCACTGCTGAGCAATATTTGGCGGGTTGAGGAGGGAAGTGAATTTATGGGCTAGTTTATTATGGCTCGCCACTGATCTGATCAGAAGATATTTAGGTTCTTGTCCCAATTCCGGCTACAGGGTTAGAGAACTCTCAGGTTGTGTGGCAAGGACACTTACACTGAGGACAATACCAAATTGATAAAATCGTTATTAATATAGATGAAAGAACAACAAATGCTATTAAACACAGAGTCACAGAAAAGTAGTACAATTCTGTGACCCCTGGTGGTAACAACATCTCTATTCTAAAAGATTACTTAAACTAGCATACTCACACCCTTCCCTAAAGACGTGGTAGTAGGAGACAGAGAACCAGCCTCGTCTCTGGCATGCTTGAGGAATTGATGGTCCAGGCTTCCCAAGTTGGTAGGGATTCGGTTCGAGTGTCGAGTAGGTAGGCTGTATTGTGAAGCTGAGCTGATAGCTTGATAGAAGATAGGTAGGCCCAACCTACCATGCCCAAATCCTATTTCCTCACCCAAATAAATCTTACTCTATAGGTTAACATGTTATGACATATATTCATATGTATTAATATCGATTATCTCATCCCTGAAACCGTTACCCTTGGCCTTACTTATGACTTCCATGTTCTGCGGTGTACCCTGCGGTTACCAGTCTGTTCCAGACCTATGATAAACATATTCAGTTCTTTGTTCGGTCCCCCCATTCAGTTCCCCAAAGTCAAGAGGGGTAACCGGTAGGCCATTTATCTATGCCAAAGGTTACAAACACTCAGACTGACTTGCTCTAGCTAATCATACAGGATATAGGCCTGTGGGTTACTAGCATTACAGCCAACTTATGAATAACCATGAATAACTATTATGAATAGCATATCCTGGAATTCAACATAAACAAAACTCAAGAAAATAAGATGACTCAATAATACCAGCATATGATAGCAAAGTAATATGAATCAAACCAATGAAGAAAACACAATATGCAATATAGCAAGCTAGCAAACTAGCCTTATGGGCTACAGAAGAAAGAACTTGCATGTGATTGAGTTTGGGGGGGGGGCAGGAAGTATTAGAGCAGGGGAAGCAGCAGGAACAAGAGAAAAGGAGAACATTGCACCTTCTCTGCCCTGCTTGACTCCCATCAGGTCTTAGGAACAACTGGATGCTCCCTTTCCTTTCTGCAGTTAGGTACTCTCCACCGGATGCTCCCTTGTGACCCACTTCTTGGTTGTAGACTCTGTCTAAAAGAATTCAGTTACTTAGCTGTGTTGTAAATTGAGAGACCATCAGCCAGGCCCTGATTCATCAAGTGCCTTAAGGATTAAGACCGTATCTTGAGCTGGCACCGAAAGAAAACTGGATACAGAGCACTATTGTGTTGTTTTCTTTAGAGGTTTTCTCTGTCTCAAAACCAGGCTGCTGCATACTATACAAGCTGGAATTTCACTGTTGCCTTCCTCTTCAGTGTCCTTGAATGTCTTGTTTTTTTTAAACTACAAATCGAGATATTACTTAAAGTTTTAACAATGCAACACATTTTAATAACGTTTTCCCTACAAATACCAAAGCAGATCCTGCCTGGAGCAAAAAATGAAGCAAAACACACTCACCAGTAAGAATTATGTACATTATATATAAGCTGATGTGTGAGCTACAAGAGGATGTGTTATTTGGGATGAGTGCATTACAGAAGTAGCAATAACACTCGTCTTCTACACCACCCAGTGTGTACTTTTTGATGCCAGAAATTTAGCACAGAAACTATTCTGGTGGTTTGTTTAAAGAGTCCTAACTATTTGATTGGTACTGATTTTTACATACCACCACCTCTAAAGCAAGGCTGCTTTGGTACCATGAATCTAAACAGGACAGGCCCCAAAGAGAAAGGGAAATGATATGCAATAAGTTTAGAAAATGGCAAAAATAATTTAAAATAGCTTTTCTATCAATCAGAATGTCACAGTGTTAAGGTCCAGTATTTCATTAACTACTGCCTAGAAATTAAGGCATTCTATGTCTCTTCCACGATATTTTCCACAAATATATTATATTTATATATTGTATTATGATAGTGTCTACAGACCTTAGCCAGGAAAGACAGCCCAATGTCTCAGGCGTTGTACAGACACAGTAACAAACAGTACCACCTTGAAGAGCTTAGTCTACTTTAAGATGATGTAACGGGTGGGTGTAACAATCAGAGAGAATAAGGGAGAGGATGGGAGTGACAGTGATGGTTACACAGAGTAGGTGTGTACATAGTTAGACACCTTCAAGTCAAAAATTTCATAAGAAGATGTAAATAAATACGTTAAGCAGGCATCAGTATTTACTAATTGTTACCCACTGCATTAGGTGGAAACTTTCCATAGACATTATGATAAAAGTGAGTCTAGAGAAGGGATTTAAAGGCA